AATATTGGACAGTGTCCTCTGCAGCAGAGCCATCTCTGGGCAAGATCCATGCCCCCCCCCAACCTGCCTTATCCACAAAGCCTGGATTTGGGAGGTGATCAATGTCTTTTTGAGAGTGGGGGACATGCCTGCGTCCTGGAAAAAGGCGGAGTAGCAGGCCTTTGCATCTCTCAATCCACCCACATTATGCAACTTCCAACCTTCCAATTTTGGGGGAGGGGGTTGGATAAAGTAGTTGGGCTGAAGAAAGTTCTGAAGGAAACAGATTTGGATCTTCCCTAACTAGGCTTTGGCCCAGACATGGAGGGCAGTGCTGGATGTCCTGACAAGACCTGGAGGGAACGTGGCTCACTCTGCAGTAGTTCAATACCATTAACGATGAGATTCTTCTGGGCTGCCAACAAGGGTTAAGATTCAGGGACACTGTGCTAAATGGAGGATTACAATCAATATTACCTGAGCTCTTAGCTACTCCAGCATAAGGTACTACATAGCTCAGCACTGGTCTTCCATGTTATTTAACACGCAGATGAAACTGTTGAAAAAGGTCAGCTGCTGGTGGGGGGAAATGACGATATCCTTTTACGTGTCTTCACCCTGGGCCAAGCAGAGATGCTGTGGAAGTACTAACACAGCATCTGGAGACTGAAAGGATGAAAATGGGACAAAATCTGCTGAAAATGCACTCCAGCAAGATGCACTGTCCATTTGTCCAGAAACAGCTGTTCATGCCATTCCTAACTATACATTGGGCTGCATTCCCAATGAAGGAGCATGTCTGGAACTTGAGAGTCTTCCTGACTCATAGTTCCTACTGGAAAAGCTAATGGACAGTGTAGCTAAGTCAGCTGGCATGCAACTGCCCCCTTCTGAGAGTAGGCAGCCTTCAGAACTGGCACTAGTCACTCACACACTTGTTACCTCAAAATTCAATGACTTGAAAAGTACTGGGCACATTTGGTACAAAATGCAGCAATCTGTATACCGATGACTTGATATAGCTCTGTTTCACCAGTATTAGAGGCTGGTTATTGGTTTATTTCCAGATACAATTCCAGGTGCTTATTTTTGCCTTTTGAAGTCTCAAAAGATTTGTTTACTCAGGTTTCTGCCTTCCCAATCAAAAGACTGGATGGGCTGAAATCTTAGCAACAAAATTATATGGTTTTAGATCCAGTCTCCTGGTTGATTTGTGCACAAGCGGATATTCTGGTGTCCTCTTCATCAACAGATCAAGGGGAGACTCGGAGACTCAGAAACAGGCATTTCCAAGAACTGCCCCATTCCAGTAAAATCGGCTGTCCTTGCATTCCAGAGAAAAGGGCTTTAAAGAGGCTGTTTGGAGATGAAAATTTACATCCTGCCCCTAATCCACATTTGAGGGTGTTTTTCTTTTTAACCTTTTCTTGATTTTTAGATAATTATTGTAATAATTCTAAATTTTACTGGGACCTTAGCTGCCTGGGCAAGATATATAGAAATGTTGAAAAATTAATGCATTTGTGTTATGCATATGCATACTAATTCATATTAATTCACAAACTTCAGAATATTATTTGGTATGCTAGGTGACAGCACCCTAAATACCCAAACTTGGTACCCATTGTTCCCACCCAGATCTGGTTTGTTTCATGCAATCCCACGAGGGAAGGCATGCTCAGCGACAACCAGTCACCTAAGATAGGAAGGTTCTTTGAATGGCTGGTAATATAAAGACTGTCTTAATATACTCAGTGTGATCTTATGTTTTTACAGGTAATCCTCGTTATATAATGGTTCATTTACTGACCATTCAAAGTTACAACGGCACTGAAAAAGAGACATGATTGTTTTACACACTTACAACTGTTGCAGCATCCCCATGGTCGTGAGATCAAAATTCAGATGCTTGGCAACTGACTTATATTTATGACGGTTGCAGTGTCCCAGGATCATGTGATCCCCTTTCGCGATCTTCTGACAAGGGGAAGCTAGATTCACGTAACAACTGTGTTACTAACTTAACAACTGCAGTGATTCACTTAACAACCATGACACTTAACAACCATGGTCATAAAATGGGGCAAAACTCACTTAACAAATGTCTCACTTAGTCAGAGAAATTGTCAAGGGCTTTCTGTATTCATAGTACCAATTATTTTGAGTCCTTAGGTTTTTACCCTGCCTTTCCTCCAGGAGCTCTTTTCTCTGATTTTGCTCCACAACTACTACCTTGTGAGAAATTATGCCTAATCCAGAGTCACCAAGGGAAATTTCCTGGCTGAGAGTAGGTATGGATTTGGTTCTCTCCCGGAAAGGTACAATATCCTGAACCTCAGGCCTAATTCAATGAATTTAAATCTGATAAAGTTAAAGCTGCAATTTAAAATCTTAGGCAAAATTTGGTAAACTTTTAGTGCATGGATTACATATGCAAAGGTTACTTACCCATTAAAAAACATACAATTTAAAATATGTGACATGTTTAGCTAAAGCAAAGAGATGAAAGACTGCCCAAAGCCATAACAGGGAACAATCCTTTGGGAACACAGTTTTCCTTTGCTTAGTGGTCAACAAGATAGGATGGGCAGCACAAAGCACAAAGAGTTGCACATTTCTAGTTGATTGTTGAAATAATTCACAACTGAATGAAACCAGCTTTTTGGGTGACAAGGGAGGGCAGAGATCTGGCAACATTTCTCAAATTGTGGATTTAGTCTTGGGGGACCCCTTTACTGATTGTTGTAGGCCAAACTTTCAAAGACTGGAAAGAAAGACTGTCTTTTCCTATACAACTCCGCCTACACACATTGGTTCACCAGGCGTGTTATAGATTCATTATCAAAACAAACTGGAATACTGTAGATCAGATATCCCCCAACCCTTGGTCCGCAGCCAGGCACCAGTCCGTGGCCATACAAACCAGGCCATACAAGTGAGCAAAGCCCCATAGGATCCAAACAGCACTCAGGACCATGCACCCTCCAGGTCCGCAGAAAAAAGCCCTCCACAGAACTGGTCCCTGGCACCCAAAAGGTAGATGATATAAAAGGTAGCCTGCTCATGGAAATATTGCCCCTTACAAATACCTATGTTAACAGCCACAGGTTCAATGTCCTCTGACTCAGGCCTTTCTACATGGCATATGAACTAGAGGATTTCAGCCCATGTAGTGGTAGTTCTTGACTTACAACCATTCATTTAGTGACTGTTTGAAGTCACAAGAACATTGAAAGAAGTGACTCCGGGCTACAGCAGTGCCCCCCCCCAACAGTCAATGATCAAAATTCAGATGCTTGGCAAGTGACACATATTTATGACATTTGCAGGGAGGTTGTCATGTGATCAGCTTTTGCGACCATCTGACAAGCAAAGTCTCTGGGGAAGCCAGATTCACTTAACCAGGTGACTCACTTATCAACTACAGTGATTCCCTTAACAACTGAGGCAAGAAAGCTTGTAAAATGGTCATAAAATCTACTTAACTGTCTTGGGCTCAACTGTGGTTGTAAGTCAAGGACTACAACCTGTACAATAGTCAGGCCAGTCTAAAAAGTAAATACTCCCATTAATCAGCTTTCATTCCGAGGGGCATAATAAAAACATCATGGAGACATAAACAGAACCATTACTGCTGCAGTAGCTTTTCACAAGCCCTTCATGACTATGCTCAGTACTGAAGGTAAGTAAGTGTTTAGGTCGCCTTTAACATATTCTTCATGCTTTTATATATTCTGCAGTGAGGAATATATACAAACAACTCTTCAGTTAGAATCCTCATTATGCCTGATTCAACATAACTGGGAACATTATTTTTTTCATATAAGGAATGGGGAAGGCTTTCCCTGGTAGTATTTGTTTTATATATATCCTGCTTATAACCTCTGACAGATATAATTTTCAGGATTAGGAATAAATGCTCTCTTTAAAAGCAGGAATACAGATTTACAAAGAGGGAAATCGATCATCTTTATTTAGTCCCAATGAAGACAGAAAACACCTGGCTAGTAATAGTTACTGTTCTTGCCAAAAATCTGTTTTGCCCAGTTAACATTTTGTTGGATTTTAAAACTACTGAATCATCCTTATTTTTCAGACTATCCAAGTACAGGAAAACTAGGAAGATTAAAACCACGCTGGTTTTTAAACTATTCTAAATAACAATACAACATGGAGAGAAAGCTCAACTAGCATTATCAGAGAATGAGAATTCCAATAAGGATTACGCTGAAGATCTTTTAAAAAGTTATTCAATTTGCTTTGTGGTATGAGCCTCTACAGATGCCAGGAAATTACTATTCTGATTTTCAGGAACAAATTATTTCAAATATATATAATAGCAACTAGACTTATATACAGTTTCACAGTGCTTTACAGCCCTTTCTAAGAGTCAGCCTACTGCCCCCCAACAATCTGGATCCTCATTTTACTGACCTTGGAAGGACATATAAATGCATTCCTAACTTTTAGAATTAGAATAAAAAGCAATTTAGGGAAGATTGTATATGAGCAATATGCCTCAGATGATTTTTTTTTTACAATGGAAATACTGCTTCTTGAAATGAATTTGGTTGTTTCAACTGTTATGCAGAAGCAATTAAAAAAAACCACTCTGAACTCTATAAACAAATACTCAAGTTTCTAAAGGCTGGTGCAGTCGAAGGGCAGTTTCAACGCGAGCGAGCGCTTGCCTCTGTATGAGCACAGCCAAGGAGTCAATCTTCCCTTCGCAAGATGCGGTTTGTGTGCAGCTTAAGGCCAGCAAAAGGCTTTGCAGGCGATGGGAAGAAATCTATTTGGCAGGACAAAGTTGGAGAGGGGAGAAGTGGGGGGGAGACACGCCAGCGAACAAACAAAACCCCACATTCATTCCTGCGGCGGCTCTTCCCGTGTAGCGAAAGGGAGCATGCCTGGCACAGGAGCCGAAGGGACGGGGAGGAAAAGCCGGCAGAAAACGGCGCCTTCTCCCTCCCCCCGCCCCGGTCTCCACACGACGCAGCCACGCCAAACTTTCGCCTCACCTGCTTGGTTTCCTTTCGGCGTCTTTGGTCGCTTTGGCTTCCCACTCTCTGCAAGAGAAAAGAGAAGAGCCCGTCAGGGAGGCCGAGCCAGCCCCGCCGACGCCCCCGGGGGCCCTCCGGAGGGAAGCAGCGCGGGGGCCCTGAGGAGGAGGAGGAGGCCGCCCGGGGATGCTCGGAGGGGCGGACTTCGAGGTGGGAGGGGCGCCACGGGACAAAGGCCGCCGGCGGGGGGAGGGTAAGGGACGGGATGCCGGCCTGGCGTTCCCCTTCCCGCCGGGCGCCTCCAGCGGGTCTCGGCCGGCCTCCTCCTCCTCCTTCTCCTCAGGGCGGGCTCGCTGCGGGGCTCACCGCATGTGCTTGGCGCGGGGGGCGGGCCTCCTAGGCGCGGGGTCTTGGGCCCGGCGCCGCTCCGCTGGGGGCCCTCGGCAGGCTCGCCTGGTCGCCGCCGTCGTCCGCGGGCGCCGCCGCCGCCCTCGGCCGCCTCCTGGCGCCCCCGCGCCCAGCCGCCATTTCCAGCCTCCCTCTCGGAGGAGGCCCGCCAGTGCCCGCCCTGCCCCCGGAAGGCCCGCCCCGCCCGAGAAGGACTTCCGGGCGCGGGGCCCGCCCCCAAGATGGCGCCTTCGCGCGGCTCACTAGAGCGGCCTTGGCTTGGTCGGAGACCGCCGTGCGATCGCCGCTCCCTCCTGTGGGTCCTGCGGGGGAGCCCCGGGCCAGAGCCGCCGACTTGTGACCCTGTGCAGCCACCTGTTGTGCCCCGGCCGAGAACTGCGGCTTCTCTAGGCCGGAAAGGTGGAATCGATTGGTCGCCCTGTTGCTTGTCTGAAATTTAACATTAACAGAGTTGGAAGGGACCTTATAGGTCATCTTGTCCACCACCCCCAAAAGCAGGAGGAATCCTTGCTTCGCAACTTTAATCTTCCTTGCGACGCTTTCCGGGCAGGTCCCTAAGGAGAAATCTGCGCGTGTAAAGAACTTCAGAACTTTGCTGGTATCCCGTGTTTTTTTCTTCCCTGCAGTTGCTGGCCGTTTGACGTATTCTAGGGACCTCCGCATCACCTGCCTGGATCTGCATGGAAACGTCTAACTGGGTTCAGGAGACATCCATAAACTGGCAGGAATTTCCCAGCAACCTGATACACAGGCGTTATGAGAATGAGTCCCATGGCCTTTCCTACGCAAGTAGCACAGTCTGGATTGCTAATCTTCCATGATCTGCACTGCCCACTCACAAAGGACTGGCACCACTGCAATGTTTATTTAGTTTATGTACCTATTCATCTATCATGTGACTGGACAATGCACACAGTTAGCAGATCTGAACAAACACCATTAAAATACAATTAAAAGAACTATAACAGAACACAACTGCAGGAGAGTGTATTCAGAAATGTGTAAACAACATAAATGTTCAGTGGGCTCTATATTTTATTTTTATTTATTTATTTGCATTTGTCAAACAAGAACAAGAGTAAAAGAATACAAATACAGTGACAGGGCCAATAGGCACATGAATGGACTTTTGCAAGCCCATCTACTAACTCCATAACCCCCTCTACTAACCACTTATTTCCAAGGGAGAAATACTGTGTGGCCAACTCCTAACCCTTATGAGTTCTAGAAAGATGCGATCAGTGAGCAGTTGAGAAATCTTAACAAGAACTCATTTGCTGTCACACATGTGAACAACCAGTGCTTCTTCTTTGTGCCACGTCTATTTCATCCAGGATCCTTTTCAGCTACAATCAATCCACCTCCAAAATCCCTAGGTGGGCTACAAGCAAAGCAACTAGCAGACTGGATGGGGTGCATGAGAGGTTAAATGAAACTTTGATTTGAGAAGATAAAAGATTATAATGCAAGCCAAAGAGAGAGCAAGAGAGACTTTAATTCATACCTAGCTCATCTTTCCAGGGGGTGGAAGGTGGGGCTATTCCATTTGATTTTCAAATTCTCCAATTTGGAGTGCAATTTCTTACCTAGGAGGAGTCAAGCTGAGCATGGAAGACAAACACTTGAGAGAGGGAGAACTTCCTGCTCTAAATTAGTTGCACAAGAGTTGTGAGTTTTCAGGGCTTTGCTGGATTCTACCCATTATCTTGATTGGCTAGCTTGCTTTTGATTAATCATTTTGAATCCAGACCTCTAGGGATGGGGGTCTTCTTCCCATTCATTACAAGGAGGAAACATTCAGTGAAGATCCTGTGGTCTGTGTAAAAAAGTCAGTGACACAAGGGGTGAATTGATTTTGTTTATTAAGATTGGTTTGGACTAAACTATGTCTTGGAACCAAAAATAAACGTAACATATTGCAGAGGAACCTACCATCATTCCCCAGAACATGGTGTCAGGTGGAACAATACTTTAGTGTTAACAATACTTGTAAAACCTTGGAAGCCCAGGTTTCCCTCTGCATACTCTTGTATAAAATGCAATCAAAGTGGGGTTATATTGAGTTTCTTCCTCCTTAGTGCCAGACTGACATTTATTTAGTGGTTCTTGCATTCCTCCTTCCAGATCACTTCCAGATCATATCTCTGCAAAGGGTAGCTTCAACAGTTTTTCAATATAGTTTCCTAATAGTAGTAATCAGAGACTTCCTGTTGAGACAGACTACATCAGCCACAACCTGATGTTTCCACATTTATTGTCAAGCAAACAGGCCAACTGTTGAGTGCTGCCATTTTTGGGGGTGGCTTGACGTTTTATGCTCACAAACTCTGCATTAGAATAATCTTGACATTAACCATTTTCTGGTTTGGGGTTTGCCATGATAACTAACTAGAACTTCAGTGAATAATATCTTTTAATGTAAATATTTTTTATTTCCATTTTCATAACATACACTCACATGTATACTATACATANAATTGGTGTTGCAGAACAGTATTCCCTAATTGACATATTGCAGGCTTAAGAATCGGTCTCCCCAGAATTTTTCCGGAGACTCCTTGAATTTGAATTTGTCTACCAGTAGGTGGTGCTATTGCCTTATTTACCACCGACCAGCTGGCTCCTGTTTCCAGGAGGAAAGTTGTATCTGTATCTCCCAAGCGTATCAGCAACTGCCTGTTAACGATGCCACTGCCACTGCCCAGACCATCGTCACGCACCGGGGGGTGTTCCGATGCACGTGCCTGCAATTTGGCATCAGCGTCGCCCCCGGCCTTTTTCAGGGTCTTGTGGAGCGTCTGCTCCATGGCATCCCTGGTGTGACGCCATACTTTGATGATGTCCTGATTGCCGCTCCGGACCAATCAGGACTCATCTCCACTCTCCGGGCCGTCCTCTCGCGTTTCTGTGCCTCAGGTCTCCACCTGAAGCGCTCCAAATGTCACCTTGGGGTTCCCGCCGTCGATTTCCTCGGCTTTCGCGTGGATGCCCGCGGCATCCACCCCTCTCCTGCTAAGGTGGAAGCCATCACCCACACCCCCACCCCATCTAACAAGGCAGAGTTGCAAGCCTTTCTGGGGCTGTTAAACTTTTACGCCGCCTTCATTCCCCATAAGGCTTCAGTGGCGGAGCCCCTCCACCGCCTCTTGGATTCCTCTGCCCCCTGGGCCTGGACCAGCCACAAGGCGCATGTGCTCGCGGCTGTCAAGCGCCTTCTGACAGCTGCTCCCGTGCTCACGCAGTACGACGAGTGCCTACCCCTCCTCCTAGCCTGCAACGCCTCCCCTTATGGCGTGGGGGCTGTCTTGAGCCACTCCTTCCCTGATGGCTCTAAAGCACCCATCGCCTACTACTCGCGCACCTTGTCCAGGGCTGAAAGAAATTACAGCCACCTGGACAAGGAAGCTCTATCAGCCGTTGCTGGAGTGAAGAGGTTTCACCACTACCTCTACTGCCGCCCCTTCACCCTCCTAACTGACCATAAGCCCCTCCTTCGCATCCTGGCCACCCCCCCATCCTCTCATCCCACATGTCCCAATGGTCTGAGTTTCTATCTGCTTACTCTTACTGGCTGCACTACCAGCCGGGTAAGCATATGGGCCATGCGGATGCCTTAAGCAGGTATCCTCTGCCCCTGCTGCTCTCCGACCCCGCCCCCTCCGTGGCCTCTGGCATCTTCCTCATCGACGACCTGGAGCTGCCACTCTCTACCTCGGACATCGCTCACTCCACCACCTCCGACCCCCTCCTTTCCCGCGTTTTGGACGCTGTTTGCTGATTTCCTAATTTGATAAGCTAACTATCTGCCAGGTTTGTTTGCGTTACAAAAAGTATTGCGTTTTGCATATAATAAACTAGTGGCTACCTGGTCAGAGATCAACATGTCAAATTGAGATTTTAATATGGTGATTGCTTCCTTAACTTTTGTATCGCCTGGATTCATTGTTAACTCCAACTCTTTCCTCTTAATTTCCTCTTCCAATTCTGTTCATTTTAACCCTTGTTTATATCTATGTATTTTATTTATATTCATCAGCACTCCTCTCATATACGCTTTGCTTGCATCCCATACGAATTCCATAGGTGTACCCTTATTCATATTCAAAACAAAGTATTCAGATAACAATTTTTTACAATCATTAATATACTTTTCATATCTGAATAAGTTTTCATTCAGTCTCCAAGACCTTCTTGCCTGCACTGCCCTTCCCAATTCCATCCAAACTGGGTTATGATC